CAGTCTGTAGCTGGTGGGCAGGCTGCCCAAAGTTGCTGTGGGACACTGGCTCCCTCCAGCATTCTTTTTCACTGTTTCTGATTCTCAAAACCTCTGTGTTCTCTTTCACTCAGCACATTTTTCTCCTCCACTCTTTTTCTTTTCTTCTTCCCTTCCTGGAAGGGAGTTATCATCACCTATATCAAAAGGCTGCTGTATTTAGTGTTTTGGAATCACAGGGGAAAACAACCTATTCCTTCTGCCACTGCTAGATCTGATAGCAGACTATAGAAATACACACTAGGACCTGTTCCCACTTCCCCCCCCCCCACGCATTCCCACTTTTGGGAACTAGTTAGCTGACAAAAAGAGCATAAGGATACTGTGGTTTATAGTCTGAAGGTGTGCACCTATGCATTTTCAGTTCACCCCTTATCTTTGGAGTTGGCACTGTGCTCAGAGTTAAAGGTAAGCAGTTGTGATTTATCTAGGGGCTTGACCAGAAAGACGTTTGAAAATTTCCTCTTCATTAATGATGTGTAGCTTTTACACAGATGATTTTCAAATGAGAGTAGAAGTGAAAGATAATAAGAAATTGTGAAACATACCTTGCCATGCTTGCCATGATGATAATGGAAGAACTGTTACACTTTTTCTCTTAGATGTTTAAAGAATGTGGAAAAGGGCATGCATGAGCTTATGCATGAGAGTGATTAAGCATTGTGCCTGTATCTGCCAGGACCACAATGGGAGATCTGAACAGAATGGACTACTGCACTGATACATTTTTTATGGTTGCCTCCATTCTTAATTGTATCAGTCTCCTTGTTCCATTTCAAAAACATGCTCTTTCTCTGGCTTTCTTTGCCTTTTCAGGATTTTTGTTGTTCTTTCTTTCTGCCTTTCTCCCCTGCCTTCCTCTTTGTCTTCTTTTTTTCTTTTAGTCAGTTAAATCTCTCTCAGTATTCTATTTTGTCCTTCTTATCTGTTTCCATGTCTTCACTCCTTAGCCATTGAGGCTATGAGCCAATGAACTTACACCAGATAGACTTTTAAGATTAAAAAAAAATCATAAATCCAAGTACTAGAAGGGAGCAGTAAAAGTGTTCACCATGAAGAAAACAGAGCAGTGCAAAATTTTCTAGCCAGTTACCTCCAGTATTTTCTAGTTATCTCTTTTTGAGGACTGTATGAGCTCACATGTTTTCACAGCATGACCCCAAAGTTCTTTATAGAATAAGCACTGACAATCATAATTAATATTAACAGCTGAAAGGCAACACCAGGGCTTAAGGGTCAAGATCAATGTAAGTTATAGATTTCTGCTAATTTGTGTATGCCAAGTCTAGAAAAAAGGGAGTGATCAAAAAGAGCATCCACAGTTTATACTGCCTTCACAAAAAATAGTAAAACAGTTTTCTCTTTGTCTATCTGGCTCAGCAGTTCCTCTCTCTTCATTTCTGTTTCCATGTGCACTCTATAGTCCTAGTGGGTTTATCTTGCTTGACTAGTAAGAAAGGTTCTCTATCACTCAGAGGAACTCAGTAATTTAGTAATAAAACAGATAAAAAAAGTAAAGAATATCCTACCTCTTGAAGGTCACTGCCTAATTTCTGAGTAACATCTCATTGTTTTCCTTGTGTACCCTTTTTGACTGTACACATCTGTTGCCTTTTGTCTTATATGTAGATTTTAAACCCTTTGAGACAAGGAACATTTTTTGTTTTGTGAGTGTATAGAATCTTGCATCATTTTGGACAGATTGGTAGTCTAAGACAAGGGTTTCTAACTTGTAAAATAGCTTAAATAATAGATAACGTAAAGAGAGATTTCATAGTCTTAAAAAGTGTCAATGTCTTCAGAGAAAGACAGCACCAGAACTTTGAACAGACCTGCATTTCTGTAGCCAGGCTTTTTATATTTCTGTGCAGTGAGTGAAAATATACATTTGTAGATCCCTTGTGTCTAACTAACAGATATTAATCTAGATAATGGACATTTGTGAAAAAGCCAGACATATCAGATGTCATACAGCACCAAACAGATACAATAGGGGGTTCCTGATTGAGGACAGTAATAGAGGCTCGGCTCTGGGCCACGCTGCTTTTTATTTCAGAGGAGAATGATGAAATCATACCACCAGCTGTGGCCATCTTTTCCCCATCAAAGCAAGAGATCCAACAGAAGAGCAAGGCCACACTGGTATGCCTGGCCTCTGGTTTCTATCCTGACTACCTCAAACTAGAGTGGAAGGTGAACGGTGCTCAGAGGACAGAAGGGGTGGGGACAGACGAGTCTTCCACATGGAATGGGAGTACCTACTCATTGACCAGCCGACTGAGGATCTCAGCCCAGGAATGGTTCAACCCTTTGAATCGTTTTGAATGTGTTGCCACATTCTTTAAGAATGAGACACTGGAAGTGATACAAAAATTCATCTCTGGCGATGCTGGTGAGTAAACAAAATGAATATATATGGGTGTAGGGGGGAAAATCACTTAAAAGAGAAAAGAATACAAAAAGGTGTGGGTTATGATGTGAAACACAAAACCAACTTCTTTCTGTACGTGAGTGTGGTCACAGCACACATACATTTGTAAATGTGTAAATATATGTTTATATCTCTTCTTCTTCCCAGGCTTGTGTATCTACATTATTAACATTATACATCTATAGAATGAGAAAATTTTTTTGAAGATTTCTTCAGATTTTAGCTGAGAAATGTTCTGAAGTCACCACCAGTGTAGTAAAATGAATCAGACAATATGTTGTAAATTAAAACTTCTGAAACTCATGTTCTGTTAATTCTTAAGAGAAAAGTGACTGTCATTTTTGTCTTTCAGGTTGTGCACTCACTGCAGGTATGTGTGTCTTATTCACAGCCAAATATCTGTGTGTATTTAAATGCCGGTTCTACTGACACTAAGTATAGAATGTATGAGGTACATATTAAGTTTCTTTCCACTAAAAGAATAACATGTACTACCAGATTTAAAGGGTATGCATGTCAGATGGAAAACAGAAAATAAAACTGAAAAAATACTTATGGGGTGGGGGTGGGGGGAGTTATATTTGCATGATGTGATCTCTGTATCTCCTCCAGTCCTTAACACTGGCTTCTAGTGGGAAGCTGTGTGTTTACCTGTTTACTAGCAGAAAGTTCACCCATGAAAGAAAAAATTCATACCTTGCCAAGTGATTAGGATGTCAAGAATCAAAATTCAGAATTCTGAGTATTTTCCTATCGTCAAATTGAGAGTACTTCCTATTACACTTCACATCTCCCCTCCAAACTGTGAGGATATCAATATTAAAAATTATGTTTAATTCCTCTGCGTATTCACATGTATGTACTCTTTCATCTTTCACTAGCTTCTTTAATGCTGCAGGTATCTGAAAGTAGAACTAAGATCAGGCTGGTCTCTCAATTATAATGCAACACTTAACAATGAAAAAACTGTAAGGATAAAAAATTATGTACCATATTATTCTGGCCTATATAAAACTGCCCTGATATACTAGCAGCATTCAGAAAGACACTGAAAATAACAAATAAAAAAAATTTAACATCTTCTTACTCAGCTTAATTTGAGTTCCTGAAGGGCATTGACATGACTAACTTAGTTTTTCAGTAAAGTATGGTAAGCTGTTATACTGTCTGCTGAAGAATTCTTATTTGACTGAATCTGTTTTAGAATCAGTATCTCCTTAAAATATTATAATTCAATACACAAATGACGTTTAAATTGCAGAGTCCTACCTGCGATATGGAAATTCTTTGAAGCTCACTTACGTGATACTCTGCATCAAAGCCTTGCTCTATGCACTTCTGGTGAGCACTCTACCATGGAGAGACAAGGTAGGCTGTTGTGCCACTTCCATTATTCACTAGTTCAAGGATCAGTGGGGACAGATAAATTTACCCTCAGCTGTGTGTTTGTTCTCCATACACTCTGCAGGGCTTTGTCCAGCTAATTTGAAATGTTTTCAAATTAGAATAGAGTTTTCTATTATTGTTTTTCCAGAGTTCAAATAAAATCAGTACTATCCAGCAGCACAATTCCTTTTGAAAATACTTGCTAAACACATGGAAAAAGATTAGAAAAATTAATGACAACTTCTCCAGAAAATAAAGAAGGGAAATATCATAGACATACTTTTCTATAAGTGTTCAAAAGGGACACACACCTGAAATGAAAGGAATAAGCAGGGTTTCTGAGGAGATACCTATAATGAATGGGATAAATTCAAACACAAGGGTGAAGTTTAACTAATTGCCATGGAATATTTTTATCAGTAAGTTTCTCACATAGCTGTAAGATCTTCCCAGGGAGGGCAGGGAAGGGCAGCAGAAGCCTCAGCACTTGCTTCTTTTAAAAGCAGGATTGGGAGAAGTATTTGGAAAGCAACCTCCTAGAGTTGAGGGGGTATATGAACACAATCTTAAGTATGTTCAAGGCTTTTTTGTTTCCTTTTTCAAGGATACTGGAGGGAGGAAGGTTATACTTTCCTGGGTCACAAACATCTGTAAAAAGCTGGGTGCAAAACTATCAACTCAGTAAATAATATGTGCAGATTCAGAAACTTTCATGGTACAAAAAATGGGCAAAAGCATTAGGCTACTATGTTCTAATTTCTCTTAATGGTCTCATGATACCTAGAAGTTGGGACACTGGTCTATTATTTCCTAAATTTTTTTTTTCCTTTGCTTGTCTGTTTGTTCTATTTTATTTTGTTTTCAGTTAGGCTGGTGGCAAGTTCTGCAGAGAATAAATGAAGAATCCTCTCCATCACCTCAGCAGAAACACAGTAAATTCTATTTTTTTAACTTTCATTAGAAAAGAATCTATGTTTCTGTCTGAGATCTTCTGCATATTATTTCTTGGCGGTTCTCTGTTTATTTCTGCTCTGTATCCTTTGTTGTAATGACTGGTGGCTTTTGCCTGAACAACATTTTCTCTTTCATAGCTTTAAAATGAAACATCTTCTTACTGTTCAGAGACTGAGGAGTTCACTTCTGGAATTAATAAAGTTTTAGCTTCTTTCCATTCAATATGCACGAGTTTGTGGGGTTATTTTTCTGAGATCTTTGTAACAATAGTGTCTATAGTGAGAACACCTGCATAAGATCTGGCAGGGAGTCAGTGACTGGCGGAGTACATGGTAGCAGGCCCAGAGTGTGAAACTACACGCTGACCAAATTCCCATCAGGGCCGGGCATGCATATCCCGTTTCGTCAACAGTGTCTAGCTGCTTCCTGGACAGTAGCTACTCAAGGTTAGCACAGCTGAGATAAGGAAACAGAACTAGTAGCTTTAAGGGGCTTTTAGGATACAACAAGCCGAGTCCTGCCTGGGCGTCCGACTCATGCGTCCAACCCATGTGTCCAGCAGCCTCCCATCGGTGACAGCTCCCCGTGCAGTTTGGAGTGTAAGTCATTTATTAAATCTATCCTGTTTAACCCCTTATGAACCTTGAGCATCTCTCTTCACCAGTATCCAACCCTTTCTTGCCCACCTTGCAGTCAAAGTGTCCCGCACCATGACTTCCATTGACCTGCGGTATTGTGAGGAATGTAAGAAACATTCACTGACAGTTGTTAGAAGTCCATCTTATCTGCTGTGTGTATGATAGAAGGGTTATGCAGTACTGATATGCAAAAGTATATCCTGATATTTCCTCCCCTGCACTTACCTCTTTCCCAAGAAAGAACTAAAGTCTACTCAAAACCAGTGCTTTACCACTATATCTAGTTGTTCATTTTTAGCACTCCAGAAAATGGGCCATATTCTTCCTATTGGTTCTACTGGGACATGTTTGGATACTGACTCATAAAGATGTTTGTCTATAACTGTTTAATTGGATTAGCAGGTTCACTAGCCTCTCACAAAAACTTTGAAGCTGAAGGAGGAAGAAGGGATATTAGCTAGGATATTGGCTATTACAGAGGGGAAAAAATTACCACTAACTAAAGAATAAAATACAGCTTTGACCCAGGCACTACAGAGGATGGAATGGATTTGGACAATCTATGGTAGAAGTATGTGGTGTGGAGTGCTAGGAACATGTGGGCTAGTACAACTGCTCGTGGTGACTAGCTCTGCATTTCCCTCAACTTTTTTTATGAATTTAGAAATGGGTTAGACTACATGACAAAATGTTATACTCTCTTAACCCTCTTCTTTACGCACATAAATGAATACAGGGAGGGGCCCAGGTGGTTTGGGAAGGAATAAAATTGGGAAGATAAAGAGATAAAAGGGCCAGTTGTGTGTAAGCAGGTGCCTGATTAGTATGCTGGCCATGACCTATGCCTGATCAGCAGGCACTAGAGGATGTCCTACTGAGCCCTTGTGCAGACCCACTTTGATATATGATTGGGAGCATGGTAGTATTTTTATACTGCTAGAGGATAAATGCTCTGTTCTACCACATGGTGAGGTACTGGGTGAGTAAGCAAGATGATGGTATCATGAGAGAGAGGCAGGAAGACTGCGAAAATGAAAGCTCAACTACGAGGAATAAACACTGTCAAATGTAACCCTGGGAAGAGGACTGAAAGTAAAAGATCAGAGCTATTGCTGAGGGGATTTTGAAAAGCAAGGAAAGAAGATCTATTCACACTCCTAAATTTTGTCTATTCTGATCTTGTGATACCTTCATGCTGACAAGAAGTATGTCCACACTGATGGATCTGTATGTTATATGTAGGTCAATCTTTGCAATGTTGAAGGAGACCCAGCTAGCGCAGAGCATAGAAGATCCATAGGTGGTATGATGCTGCTCTTGTACACCTCTCTGTTCTCTCCAGCCATTGTAGTCTGACAAAAGAATAAACTGGACAAACGTTATCTTTCCATGCCCAGAACTCAGGCTGTCAGCAGGTGGCCTGAACAAGTGAAGGCCTGTAACAAAACCAGTTTGGAAACTAATTTCCAAGCTACCATTTTTGTGAGCTCATGGACTTGTCAATGCTAAGGCCAAAAAGGACGATGAAATTATCATTTTGATATCCTGTGTATCACACACTAAAACATTTCATCAAATTAATTTTAATGTTCATTAGGCATAATAAACTAATATAAAGCTTGAGTGTAGCTAAAGCATGCAGGTGTCCAGTCATGATTGGACAACATCTAGAACTTCAGAAATCACCTCCCTTTTTGGTAATTTGTTGCAGTAGTACATCACCTCCACTTTTATATAGTTCTGCCTTATTTCAGTTTGGATATATTTGACTTCAGCTTCCAGACATTAATTCATGCTATGCTTGTCTCAGCTAGATTACTTTCTCTTGTACTATGCAACAACCTCACTTCTCCTACACTCTATTGCTTGTTTTTGTATACAAGGGTTGCATAAATCATTCCTGCTACAGAGCTCAAACAGAGCTGCTTCTCCAGCATGTTCACTAAGACCTCCTCAGTCACCCTATTCCTTGCTGAAGCCCCTCGTTATTCTGTAGGTTTGGCTGCTATTATTTCTTTTGCCTGGAGACTACTATGGGGAGCTACTGTATGAATATGTCTGGGTCTCACTGGTTGTGTATATTCTGCTGAGAAACTGTCATGGAGCAGCAAGGGCTGGCGGGGAAGGTGAGCCAGGAACCGAGAATGACCACAGCCTAGGAAGTGGCATCAGCCAGGGCACAGCCAGAGCATAGTCCCACAGGATGTGTGCACAGCAAGCAGAGTAGAGTGCGGGCCACAGGGTCCCTCAACAGTCCCAAGCAAGGCAAATGATGAACCAGGTCTAGAGTCTGTCCAGGAAGTTGAGTCAGAAGCAAAAGAAGATGAGGCCAGAGAATGGACTTGAAAAGAGGCTGCAACATGGGTCCAGAGTCCATCCAAGAGACAAGGCC